CAAACGCCCACTTCGCTGCAAACGCCCACTTCGCAGCAAACGCCCACCCCAGCGGGTCCATACTATTTTCGTCTTTTTCAGATCTATAATATTGTTGTAGAAAACTGGCACAAAGGTCGAATGCGTACGAAAGCGGCTGTAATGCCTACAAACTGCCCATGTCTTACCAGGAGGCTCTGCAAAGCGATTGTCATTATCTTGCTGCAAAGAAAAACTTCTGTCGAGATGTCCTTTCATTCGATAAATGAGTCGTCTTTGTGGTAGTTCGCTCTCCATGTAGTAATGCCGTAGAATCCATCTAGTTTTCATGACATTTCTGCAGTGCACGATGTCGCGCTTTCAGAACGGAACAGTGATTGTTCTGACGAAGCGTCATTCAACCACTGGATTGGTCGCAGTATTGCAGTTGCAATTCGAACAGGGTATGTCACAGAAGCTACCCATACAAAGTCGTTGCTAACTTGTTGAAAACTCTGAAGTGCTCGAGAAAAAACACTTGCTTTGAGCGTTGTGTGATTTGGAAATGATGGCTTGAAACACCGTCAGAAGTGTATTTGGTCCCTGCAATACTCTGTTCTTCGCTACCTTATTATTCGGAAGAAACTCCGGTTTGGATTTGCGAATTAAAACAGCCATCATCATAGAATCACTACTCACTACGAGCTAGCTCGTGGATAGTGCCCAGAGCGATTTCGAAACCAGGAAAGTGGACATAGTTTACCGTAGCAAAGCGCTCTTCGCACTACGGTGTGAGATGCACTTTCGTACAGTAGGGGTAACAGTGCATGGGGTCGGTGTGTACAGGCCAGCAGATCTTGGAAAAATGGGGTGGGCGTTTGCAGCGGACTTTACGGTACTGGGAGAAAGGATGGCATTTTCGAAGAGGGATCTTCGGAAGACTTTCTCTTCGAACGGCTGAGCCACTGCGACACTAATGGCGATAAAATTCAGAAGACTTCTTCGAGCAGTACAACACTAACTAAAATCTACGCAACAGCAAGCTGGCCAAACACTCCAACAAGTTCAACAACCCTCTCCACAACACTGAGACATTCTCCAGTTGATCGTTTTATTCTCTTCTGCAATTCTGGTTCAAGTCGCTGTACTCCAACGACAACTAGTAAGACTAGTTTTGGTATGTTAGGGGCCATCTGTAAATATAGATTTGTATTTATGGATTCTCCACAGGCTTTATCCTAAATCGAGGGAGTCTCTAGATATTTATTTAGAAACGAAAACTAGTCGTTTAGGGGAGAGGGGGTTGAGCGCCTGTTCGTTTCTCAAAAAAATATCGATGGACAGTTTGTATGTGTGATCACGTCCAGAAAAAAAGAAAAAAATATCGATACTATGTACCGTTTGTATGTGTTCGTTTCTGAGGTAGGGGAGGAAGGTTGAAGACAAATAATTTTCGTTTCTAAATAAGTATCGGTATTTACGGAAGGTCCCTTACTTTCCGAAGCTGCACACTTTGGACTGTAACCATGCAAGCAATGATCAGCGCTAGTCCAGAGTCTGTGCAGTGTATGTACAGACAGTGCACAATCGATCATTGACGCATCGCGTAGTACATGATTGTACATATTTTATATTCGCGTGTCTAACTTTCGTGATTCGGCCCTGCTCGCGAAAGTCGCGGAAGTTAATCGCTCGCGCAAGTTTGTCGTTTAACAGTAATAGCTAGGCATCAAGTCTGAACCAAATTCCATGCTCCGCACAATGAAAGTTGACGGGAAAGGGGAAAATACTCGCACCGACTCTGGGAGGTGGAAGTGCGTGAGAATCGATTTCTTCCCCACCGCTCGGCAAAAATCGGATGCGTATTTTCAACGACGCTGGTTCAATTTTTTTCAAATGGCAACCCATACTTCTGGCAGCGTATTTCGATGGGTATGGACATCTTCCAGGGCCCCGTGGCCGTCTACCACGGCTAAACATCTCCAATATTCGAAAATAGAGGGCCAAACTGGGTGAGGTCTGCCTGTCGACGGAAGTCGACAACAGCACTGGGGACTGCATGTTTACTCGTCGACGCAAGTCAACAATGTCACTCGAAGTGCATGAATGCGCAGTCGACAGTGGCAGTGAAAGGGTTAAGACTAAAATCGGAGCATTTGGAGTGAGTTTGAAAATTGACTGAAGTCACTATTGCCATAAGCAAATTTACACATGCGCTCAGCATCACGCATGCTGGTTCAGTACCCCGGTGAATGGTCGCTTTCTTTGCATCGTATCTCTTTCACGGCATGCCAGGGAAGGCCGAGAAAGTAATCGTGACTAATTTCACGGCAGTTTGTGCGCAAACCAGTCCCTCAAAAATCCATCACGATGTTTTTGTTTACTGAGGAAGTAGATGGAGAACCACTCGTTTGAGGGGCTACCGACCGACCTCCGGCCTGGCTATCCCCCTTTGAGGGAGATCTCCTGACCAAAGAGAAAACAAACTTGGCAGCTCTGAAATAGAGTCAAACCTCTTTAGGACGAACATCAAGAGACCGATGATATTCGTTCGCAATAACGGGAGTTCTTCTTATCCATATGTTTTACCCGGTGAATACACAGGGTTTTGTCCAATACAGTTTCGAATATTAGTTCTTCTTAGGCAAACATTTGTTTTATCAGTGTTCGTCCTAACAAGGTTTCACTGTACATGAAGTGCAACCACTGCAACTGCTTGTGGCTTAGCACCACAGCACATACCGTTTTTTTCCGGGGTGTTGGCTGCACTTTGAAATGCATCCAAAAAACATCCCTGCGGCTTATAAATAATCCGAATGCTGGTTGTGCTCTACAGCGCTCCGTGCATATAATGAGTGTATGATGTCATTCGACTGTTTTCATGTACTGAAATCCATCATTCCACTTGCACAAAGCTTCTACATGTCAGTTCAGAGTGAAGGACAAACTAGGCCCCTTTTGCTATAACCTCAGTTGTTCTTCATAGATTGTTAACCCTTTGACCTCGAACCACGAGTTAAAGGTCATTTTTGAACACGAGTTTGCTCGTGCGCAACCGTGCCAGTTTGTGCAGCGCATACATATCACTGTTCAAATTGTCGTAACTCCATTGTCCTTTCTTCGATCGCCAAGAATGAGGGCTTATCGGAAAGCTGAGAGAATAAGCTTCCCAGCCGTGTGTCGTATGATCTAGCGCGATTAAGATTTACTGAGCGCTGAAGAGCGAAACATGGATGCGCTTTTAAAAATTTGTTTGGAAAAGGGACGTCGCCTGTGACTCATGGTTGCATAGCGCATGCGCAGTGAAGGCGAAATGAATCGCTTGGGTTTCAGGGACCTGCAGGGCTGTGAATTACCGTTCTACATTGAGTAAAACTTCAGAACCAATGACATTTGTGGATGTGGGCACAGTATCTAGCTCAGGCGCAATAGGGCAGCTCTCAAAAGACGTGACGGCGATTCTGTCGCTCCTGTGGAGTACTTAGTGGCGATATCTGGCGAGAGGAGATCTGTAGCTTTCCAAAGAGACCAAAATTGAGATATTCCAAATCTGGTGCATGAAATTAGATAATGTTGAAATGCATACTGGGACTGTTGCGCGATCGATCGCGCACCTCTGCGCGAATCCTGAAGGAATCCATGGATGCCATGGTAGGGCTCAAAGGGTTAAGCATTTGTAACGTCTTGTACGTATGTATGTACCGGTACCCATTAAGTTAGATTGTCAAAAAGGTAAAAATCTGACGTATGGCTTACTGGAAACCGTGAAATTATTGCCATGGTCTAATTTCTGCGAAATTCGCGACCGCCTGGAAATCGCGAAATTTAGACAGCGTGAAAAGGAGATCCATGAAAGGTTTAGCAAGAATGTCACAGTAGCACAAATAGTAGCGCAATCCAGCGTATTCGTGAAGATTGCCACCAAGAGTTTCCTTGCACCACTGCTGTACAAATAACTCGGACCGGAGTTCATTCCTTTCACATCCTTTTGAAGTTTTCCCTCGACGATCGCACTACTGCTTCTCTCTCGTCACTAGTAGTATGCCGTTCCTTCAGTGGATGCAGAAAAATGATGACAGCAGCACTGCGAAGCAGGCTTCATACCTTCCTCCTGCGGCAAGCATTACCGTCGCTGCAGCAAACTGCACCGTGGAAAAGGAGCTGGCTACGTTTGAGAAAAAGAAGAGGAAGCGTGGTGACTACCATAGATACACGGATGAGGTGAGAGCCAAGATCGGTCGACATGCCACTGAAAGCGGAAACAAATCAGCTGTTCAAAAGTTAGCTTGTCCTTGCTTAGCCTTCTTTGGCTGAAAATCTCTGCTTTAAAATTTTCAAATTCTGCAATCGCAAAATTAAAACCTCGCAAACCTGTCCGGATTCTGAAAACGCGAACTAAAAACGCAGCGAAAATTTCACGCTTTACAGTATACCTCACCACAAAAATACGAATTTTGGGACTGAAAAGCGGCACGTAGCTTAGACCCTCGGGGCTGGGGAAAACGAATGTCGCAATCGACCCGTGTCTGATCCTGTGCATCAAGCACTAAATGTTGTACCACCCGACTTTGTAGGATATCACTGGACATTAACCTTTTTCGTACTTGGCCACTTTTCTCCTGTGAAAAAAGGGGCCACACACGGTGGCACACACCTACACACACACACACACACACACACACACACACACACACACACACACACACACACACACACACACACACACACACACACACACACACACACAGACACACAAGCGCACGCACACATACAAATGCATGCATGAGGAGGCGCGAAATTGAGGTCTGTGGGTCCTGGCTATGCCAATCGTCTACTCTGTCTATCATAACTTGGGGAATAAAAGTAAATTGATCAACTCATTTCTGGTGTTGCGTGTGTGTGTATGTGTGTATGTGTGTTTGTGTGTTTGTGTGTGTGTGTGTGTGTGTGTGTGTGTGTGTGTGTGTGTGTGTGTGTGTGTGTGTGTGTGTGTGTGTGTGTGTGTGCTGTGTTTCTGCTTGGGAACTATGAACGAAATGAAGAAAGAGGAACTTAGAACTGGTGGGTGCCAATCTGTCTGCTCGATTTGAGAACTTCTTCGTAGTAATGATTTTTCGTAATCAAAGTCTTCAACTTGAATTGTTTGCAGGCAACCTGCCTACACACAAGAGAGCACTGCATTTCACACAAATCCATTGGTATCGTTACAACGTTTCGGTCTTTATGACCATCATCAGGAATGAAGTGGACATGGAAAGAACAGCAGTATAAAAGAAGGAGGCAAGCAAGCAAAGCGCGGTACATAGTGACAGCGCGCGTAGAGAAGTGCAAAGCACGTCATGGCGGGTGTGCATTACTACATATACATGACAACACAAGCACAAACGGCGAGGAAAGTAGATACTGCGCTACAGCAGTGATAACAGCCCAGTTCCAGTCTCACACCACCAGTGAGGTGTCTAGAGCCCCGCGCCACTCGCAGTAAGGTGGTGTTATAGCAGATCCCAGCCACTGTTGTTAATTTCCGGGGATCGCTCCCTGATATTGATGGCCTCCCGGATCCTCCTCCTGGGGCGGTCACGCTCAGAACCGAGAACCCGGATACCTGAGAAAGCCGTTGCTCCCAATGGCAATGGGTCAGATGCATGCTTGGCCGCAAAATGCTCACCCAGCGCGGTGCCGCTCACTGTGTTGCGTGCGTCGTCGTTGTGTTCTTTTGTCCTGGTAGCGAGGCTGCGGTACGTCTCTCCGACATATTTATCACCACATTTGCACTCGAAGTGGTATACAACATTTCGCTCCGTGCATGCCCCTGAACCGGACATGCAGGCGACACAAGCAGCTTTGGGCCGCCCCGTTTACGGGGCCTGGACGGGTCTACATACCTGCGGCATGGTGGTTTGCGGAGGGCAGACGTGCAAATCATAGAACTTAGACGGCGGTTCCTGTAAATCAGCTGGGCATTTATCTTGTACTTCCGGAGTAATTTATGAATTTTGTCTTCAAGTATGAGATATTAGAGAAAAACGAAGACAGAGATTGTGACAGAGAGAGGGAGATAGATGGATAGCTCATGTGGGGTAGTGCCTTTGCTGTTTGCGTTATGCAGAGCTCACTGACTTGTCAGTTTGAGCACTCTGGCAAGGTACGTTTGGGTCTGGTTTAAATCTGGCTTTGGAAAAAATATTTTTCATTGCTACCAGGTTCGGGCTCATTTTCTCTGTCCTGCGCTGATGAGTCCACAAAGGACTTAACAGTTTTGTCCGCAGATTGATTAGATAAATAGACCAAAGAGTGGTATATTTGATAAGATACTTCATTGGTTGCCTGATGATCGTAGTAATACGTGAAACTCAGAGTTGTAACAAAGCTTTCAATCTCTCTCTTGTGTAAGATACAAGTACTTCATTAGAAATATTTACGATACTTCTCCAGACGTTTCGTTATTCTGAACAACATCGTCAGTGGATGTTGGATGTCTTTCTTTATCCACTGAAGAAGTGTTTCACACAACGAAACGTCTGGAGAAGTATCGTAAATGTTTCTACTGAAGTATATTTATTTATCAAATATACCACTCTTTGGTATAGAAAGAATACTTTTTTGATATTACAATGAGAGTGGATAATCAATGGCTTGTCCACGAACTCTTAGATAGATGGATAGATACAAGGGAGTAATTTTGGAAATTGCCGGCAACCATAATTATAGCGTCTGTGTGATACTGGCGTTATTCGTGAATCGTGTAGAGTAATATCAATTTAAACGCCAAGTATCACACATGATCATATTCATAGTGATTAGTCTCAGGTTTTAGTATCAGTCGTCTGATTGCAATAGCATGAAACTTTATGAAAAATCCAAACTGGACCACTTTCTGTCTTTTTAGTTACTCAATCTGCGGACAGAACTTTTTAGCTAGATAGGTAAATAGATATAATTATACCCAATACTGTATGCTGTATACATAGTCAGAGAAACAGAGAAACAGAGAGATAGAGAGACAGAGAAAAGGGGCGCGTAGGGGGGGGGGGGGGGTTGGAGGGAGGGCGAACAGGAAGAGAATAAGGAAAGGGGGGGGTCTCAATTGCTTTTGTGACTGGTAAACTCTGTTGTACTTGAGGCATTCTACCATTTCCCATGATAACATGTACTAATGATTGTTGCTGCTACTGCTGTTGCTGCTCTTCGTGCTGCTACTGCTGCTGCTGCATTATTATTGTTTATTGCAATGCAGCTGCTGTCGCTGAGGACATCATTGGTGGTAAGGACGAGGCCAGCGTGGTACGCGTGCGTATGTACCTTGTCGGCAAGTTCGCCACGGGAAAGTCCAGCTTTGTCCGGGCACTGCTCGGTGAAGAGTTCATTGAAAACGCGGACAGCACCGACTCCATTTCCATCCATCGATCCAGACTCAGAATGCATCTCTCCTCTCATACCGCCACAAGCACGCAAGAGGCAGCACAAGTTCTTGTGGATGACAGTCAACATAGTTTCTTTGTCAATCTACTCACAGCTCGCATCCGATCATCTGTAGATCTGGTCCAGAAAATCAAGAAACGTCCGTCAATCTTGTCCAAAGTCAAGACACTGTTCACTTCACGACTCAGTTCGTCATCGACTGCCTCCGCTACCGGCACCAGAGCATCTGCTGCATCCGCTGTCAACAACGAGTTTGCCAATGTTCCCCACGCTAATGACCTGACCAAAGTGGCACAAAATGTTATCTCTCAAGTTCGCTCGTCTGTCAGCAATGTCGATAACAGTTCAAATGAAGCGGAAGCAGCATATGCGTTTGTTGAGCTGTGGGACATGGGTGGACAGATGCCGATGTTGGTACAACAAAGCATCTCGTTTTCAATTTGTGACAGCGTGTACATTGTGACTCTTGACATGAGGTGTGACCTGGATGAGGAGGTAACGGAAGACGTCTACCGCTTCGATGGTCAGGAGATTGTAACTTCTACACCGTTGCCAGGAATGACGCAGGCTGACTACCTTCACATGTGTCTGTCACTGATTGATTTGCAGCATAGAGCAGACACACACCCTGACCAGCATCACCACCAGCAGCAGCAGCAGCAACAGCAACAGCAGCAACAGCAGCAGCAACAGCCGCAGCAGCAACAGCAGCAGCACCAACATCAGCAGCACCAACATCAGCAGCATCAGCATCAGTCAGACACAGAGCCGGGTAAGACCAGTAGCAGCAATAGCAGCCACCATCATGATGAGAGTAGCACAGCCATCATGGTTGTTGTTACACATGTGGATCTTGTCGATGACGACCAAATAGAGAAGAAGAAGGACATGTTCTTCAATGCCGTGTCCAAGCTGGCTGAAAGGGCCGGACCCAACGTCAAGGTCTCTGGACCCTTCTATGTTGACAATCACCGTCTTCAAGATCGCGTATCTCGCCACAGCCAGCTTGCTGAAGCACAGCAAGAGCTCTCTAGAATTGTGTCTGCCTTTCCTGTCCAAGGAATTCCCTTGATGCAGGTGAAGATCGAAGAAGCTATTTCTCTCCACCAAAAGGAAATGCTTCGCTATGCAAAGGCTGGATGCAGTGATGATGCAATGCAAGCTACCAGTAGTGATCAGCAGCAGCAGCAGCAGCAGCGGCAGCAGCAGAGTTTTGTTAGTATGGACTACCCACAGTTTGTAGACTTTTGTCGGCATGTTAGCGGCAAAGATCTCAACACTACACAAGTGTCTGATCTACTGCACCGCCTTCAGCAACATGGCACAGTGTTTTGCTGTGACTGCCCGCATCCACTCACTTCAAGTGTCATTTTCCTTGAACCCCAGCAGCTGTTACTCAACTTTGTACGCTTGATGACCTTCCCTCTGAAGGAGACAGCTTTTCCAAGCACCTCAGCAACATTAGTCAGAGAAGTGCAACACTTTCGACGTACGGGAATTGCCAGCGCGAGGTTGATAGAGAAAGTTTGGTATCCTCTCAGCCGTGTTGTCCAGCTAGCTCTCTGCAAATCCATGTGTTACTTCAACCTGGCAGCAGAACTTCAGCCCGCCAGCAGTGCAGCCACCAGCAGTACAGCCACCAGCAGTACAGCCACCAGCAGTACAGCCACAAGCAGTACAGTCAACAGCAGTACAGCCACCAGCAGTACAGATACCAGCACCGGAGGGTGTGGCAGTAGAGTCGGCGGCAGCAGCAACAGCAGCAGCAGACAAGACAGGTGTCCAGTTGTCACGCCAGGCCTTCCCGACCTCTTCATCCCTTTCTGCTGCAACCAGGAAGCATTACGGTTGGTTTTGGAGGATGATGTTCCCTTTAAGCTACCGTTTAACCACCTCAGTTTCCCTGGGATGCTGTTTCCTCCACCACTGTTCGGTCGCTTAGTCACCTACATAATTCATCGTATGAAGAAAGAGTCAGCCAGTCTTCAGTTCACATCCAGTGCGGCATCACTGAATTTGGAGGTTGGTTGTAGTCAAGTATGCCTCTGCTGGACACCGACAGGTGTTCGCTTAGAATGCGCTGCTGATACACCATCCATACTTGCTGATGTGGCTTGGGATATGAAGAGTGCAATTGTTGACTTCACACAAGTTCTCAGCCGCCAAGGGTACCAGCAGTTCACAGTTGTTGGTGAATCATTTGTCTGCACTTCCGCATCATGCCAGGATCGCCTGAAGGAATGCAGCAGTCCTGCAGAAGTGCTGGTACACTCGTCGTGGGTGTTGCTAACCAGCTTGCACAAGAAGCATTTCTTGACGGCATACGAGTCAGATGGGAACACCGCCCTGACCTTCAAGGCTACGTGTGCTACCTGCAAGGAGAAGGTCATTATCCCGAGGTCCTTCTGGCCCTGGCTGCGTAAGGATGTGCCATTTGTCCAAGCTGAGGTGAGTTGTGAAGATTTTCTTCCACTGTCTTGTATGGTTTCAGCATACACTTGAAATGTCAAGCTGCTAGAATAGATACTTTGCTGCTATATCTACACTATCATGTGACTGTGATCATGTGACTGTGATCATGTGACAGTGATCTTGTGACAGTGATCATGTGACTGTGTTCATCTGACCGTGATCATGTTCATGTGACAGTGATCATGTGACAGTGCTCGTGTGACAGTGATCATGTGACTGTGTTCATGTGACCGTGATCATGTTCATGTGACAGTGATCATGTGACCGTGATCATGTTCATGTGACTGTGATCATGTGACTTTAAGCGTGTGACGGTGAGGATTTGACTGATCAAGTGACCGTGTGTCGTTTTTTTGTTTTCATTATCTCTTCAAGGAGAAGTAGCTTCTTTTCAGCAATACTCAATAGAATTCTACTTGATCAAAAGCTAGCATAGAATTGCAATGCACTACGAATGGAGGATAATTATTATTTTACGGTATACGGATGTGGAATTGGATTGACTGAACTTTTCTGTTGTTTGTGTTTCTTGTCTGCATATCTTCGGGTTTCTAAAACGATTTTAGCAGCCACTAGCAGCAGCAGCAGCAGTGCCACCAGCAGCAGTGCCACCACCAGAAGTGCCACCACCAGCAGCAGCAGTGCCACCACCAGCAGCAGCAGTGCTACCAGCAGCAGTGCCACCACCAGCAGCAGTGCCACCAGCAGCAGCAGCAGTGCCACCAGCAGCAGTGCCACCAGCAGCAGTGCCACCAGCAGCAGTGCCACCACCACCAGCAGCAGTGCCACCAGCAGCAGTGCCACCAGCAGCAGTGCCACCAGCACCAGCAGTGCCACCAGCAGCAGTGCCACCAGCAGGACAAGCAGCAGCAGCTGCATTACATCTGCCATCACCATCATCAGCAGCAGCAGCATCGGAGTCCGCATCAGCAGCAGCAGCAGCAGCATTGGAGTCCGCATCAGCAGCAGCACCAGTGCCACCAGCAGTAAAATCAACAGCAGCAGTAGCATCACCATCACCATCATCATCAGAATCATCTACATCACCAGCAGCAGCATTAGCACCCGCAGAGGCAGTTTCATGCCAACCGTCAACATCACCGTAAGCACATAGACTTGCTGTAATTCAAATCATGTGCACATGGTACAGGTATTGCTTGACAACTTATCTCAATTCTACCGTTCATATGCTAATAGCAATGTTACTCAAAGTCCCAACCACTATTTTCTTCTCTCTCTCTATGTCTCTCTCTTTCTGTCTCTCTCTGTCTCTCTGTCTCTCCCTCCCTCTCTCTCTCCCTCCCTCTCTCTCTCTCTCTCTCTCTCTCTCTCTCTCTCTCTCTCTCTCTCTCTCTCTCTCTCTCTCTCTCTCTCTCTCTCTCTCTCTCTCTCTCTCTCTATCTATCTATCTATCTCTCTCTCTCTCTCTCTCTCTCTCTCTCTCTACCTCTCTCTCTCTACCTCTCTCTCTACCTCTCCCCTCTCTCTCTCTCTACCTCTCTCTCTCTACCTCTCTCTCTCTCTCTCTCTCTCTCTCTCTCTCTCTCTCTCTCTCTCTCTCTCTCTCTATGTCTCTCTCTCTCTCTACCTCTCTCTCTCTCTCTCTCTCTCTCTCTCTCTCTCTCTCTCTCTCTCTCTCTCTCTCTCTCTCTCTCTCTCTCTCTCTCTCTCTCTCTCTCTCTCTATCTCACACTAAATCTATCTCTCCCCCCCCTCTCTGTCTCTCTCTCTCTGTCTCTCCCTCTCCCCCTCTCTCTCTCTCTCTCTCTCTCTCTCTCTCTCTCTCTCTCTCTCTCTCTCTCTCTCCTCTCCTCTCTCTCTCTCTCTCTCTCTCTCTCTCTCTCTCTCTCTCTCTCTCTCTCTCTCTCTCTCTCTCTCTCTCTCTCTCTCTCTCTCTCTCTCTCTCTCTCTCTCTCTCTCTCTCTCTCTCTCTCTCTCTCTCTCTCTCTCTCTCTCTCTCTCTCTCTCTCTCTCGTGGACCCAATGTATGCAGACGGCGACGCACAAATGCAAAAGCAGTGCAGCAAAGCTTGTAGATGGCCGGTACAAACCTTACGATCCCTGCCTGATGATGTCAGGGAGGAAGATCGCTTTCATTGACACTGCAGAGTTCAAGTTCCTGGGGCGAAGGCTGGATGCTAATTGCTCTGAGCAGACCCAGCGGGAAGACATCCGTCAACTCACTGTATCTCTCATGCAAAAAGTAGATGGCTCTTGGCTTCAAGACCACCACAAGCTATGGCTTTACCACCATCTTGTAGTGCCCAAGCTTTCTTGGTCTTTCCAGGTTCTTGAACTCACACAAGGTTTTGTACGTGAACTGCACTTTATGTGTTTACCATTTCTGAAGAAATGGTCAGGCCTACCTCGATGCGCAAACTCTGCCATTCTTTTTATTGGCAGTCGCAAACGCTTTGGCTTACGCCTAGGGGTGAAACGAACGAACGAAAGTTCGAATATTCGTTCGAAAAATTTGAAAACGAACGAACGAACTCGCAAGATTGATAATCGAACACAGCAAGTAAGCGTAAAAATCGCTTGTGACTAGATCACGAAGGAGCCGCGGAGGTTGGGGAATCGGGCTGATCCACTGCGTCTGCCTTGATGATCACATGAAGCAAGTTGAAGGAGTTGTCGCGTCAGAACAAAGTTTCCTGAAATATTTCTGTGTGTCCGTTTGAGGTAGATTTGTACTCGTAGTGAAAGGAGTCGAGTCGCTTGTGACATCTGTTCCTGAAAGCAAACGTTCACTCGTTGCAATCATGTCAACACTTTCGAGCCTTTCATCGCGGTCCGGAGTTGAAGCGGAATTTGATAAAGTGGTCGGGAAAGACGAAGTCCTTTTCTCAGTTTCAAAAAAGTTCTATCACGCAACAGAGCGACGACGAGCAATCTTCGTACCCACCTCAAGAAGTACCATTCTCCTGCTCTGACGACCTGAGCTAGCGATGAGAAGAAAACTCTCGTCCGGACGATGGTGATGGACTTTGCAGTTAAGCTAGCTGCAAAACATTGTGATTCAGCGCAGGCTGGCGCGATAAACAATATTTCTGTTCTCGCAGTGTATCATGCGGTCAATCAGCATTCTCACTTTCTCAGTGCTGGTGATTCTGGCCTCTGGTTCTAGAGCTAGCTTACATGTAGATCTACATGCATGATCACAGTGTTTGTTTAGCATAACACCGTCAATACTGAACTGTGGCCAGCCAGGTACAAAGAACGCCTGTACTGACAGTCTGTATGGTCTTAAAAAAATACATCTATGAAATACATAATGGAGAATGTTCGTTCGAGTTCGTTCGTTAGTGTGAGAGTTCGTTCGTATTCAAAATTCAATGTTCGTTTCACCCCTACTTACGCCTCCACTACCTTCCTACGGTGTGGAAAAAGTGCCAGTCCATCAAATGGCACATTCTTCGATCGAGTTGGGACGCGCGCATGAGGGCGCTGTACACTCTGCGTCGGTGTCGCCGTGCGACTACTACTGTGACCCTGATCTAACAATACTCATGCCAGTTGCACTACAAACAATCCACTCATGACATCTTGCTCTAAAAAGGCGAGCTGCCTGCAAACTTGGATTCACACAAGAGCCATAAGAACACGAGGTCAATCTTGGTGATCATAAAAAGGAGAGGCTGATCAGGAACGCGCATGCCTAATTTATACGGGCCAAGATCGCGCATGCCTAATATGCGCGCGTACCATACTGCGCATGCCTATAGCCATTCAGAATATGGAAGGAGCGCGGCAAGGTCAGAAAAAGTAGGCTCTAGCACTACAAATTTATGTCTAAGTGATAATTATGGAAATTACGATCGCGTTCGCGACAGTCGGAGTAAGGATGCGAAGCTGACAAAGCGATATGCGGCGACAATAGAGCTGGAGTGTGCAGAGGCATCAGTAGGTTCAGGGACTCTCCGTCCACCGTCATCTTCAAGTCATCGTGCAGGGTTGGGTGCTCGTGCTCCGAAGCTGCATTCCAAACCCCCGAGGAAGGATCTCCTTCAAACATTTGAGGAGATCAACGCGCAGGAGCAGATTTTGAGGCTGAAGACTCTTCAGGTGCAAGGCAAGTGGTTGGAGTGGACATCGGTGATGTGGCAGGACCTCTCGTGGAAATCCCTTTTGTACGGTGGTACTGGTAAGGATTTAAAATTTCTTCTCGCATCAACCCTCGACGTGCTACCTTCTCCGACGAACCTACGCCGTTGGGGAAACACCGTAGTGGATCCGTACTGATTGGATTGGATTGGATTTTTATTTATAGTGGCGACTATAACAGACAATTGCCTAATAACAATAGACCCACTCGAGGGAAAGATGCAAAAAGATATGAATAATTAATATAATAATAGACTACCGGTATTGGATAGGTGATCATGTTCGCATTTTGCATAGCTGAAAGTCATAATTACTAGCGTGAAAAAGCAAGGCATTGGGGTAACAGTTTCTTAAAACGGGCGGAGTTATCCACACAGCGAGCTAGAGGGTGCAAATCATTCCACAGCTTAGCACATTGGAAGGAAGCGCCATGACGGGCAAAGGCAGTTCTGAGCATGGGCAACTTAAGAGTGCGTGATACAAGGCTGCGCGTTGCAAGACCATTATTTAAACGTTCGAACATTTGACTTAATGTGACACTACAGCGGCCTTCCAAACAGCGCCACGTCAGATACAGTAATTTCTTGCAATACATGGTTGCCAAACGATCTAGACCAAGTCTCGCAAATAAAGGGCTTGATGGGCTACAAAAACCAGTATCGTACACTGAACGCAAAGCTCGCTTTAGCATTCGTTCAAGCCTACCTAACTGGGTTAAGGAAAGGCCAGCAGAAAAACAATTTGATGCATATAGAAAATCTGGCAACACTAGGCACTTTACGAAGGTTTCTCGGCAAGTCAGCGGAATATTGTGTCGATTTCGGAACAGAATACCAATTTTACTGGCTAGTTTGGAGACCATAGAATCAACTTGAGTGCTCCAAGAAAGATCCTGGTCCAAATGTATTCCAAGGTACTTTGCACATGTCACTTGCTTGAGCTGCACTCCATGGCAGTAGACTGCAAATTGGTGGTCAGTAATATGTGGCGTAGACAGGAAGAGCACTTGTGTCTTCCGAGCATTTAGAATTAAATTGCGGTTTGACAGCCAGGTACTAATGGCTGAGACAGCTGCAGACAGGGAGTTGCTAAGCGCATTCTTCTGCGTACCGCAAACATACAATAGAATATCGTCAGCAAATTGAATAACTTTCACACAAAACTCGGAGACAATGGACTGGATCGAACGAACATAGAGTACAAAAAGCAGCGGACCAAGAACAGAGCCCTGGGGAACGCCACACATGCAGGGGAAAGGAGGGCTATAGTTCTCAGCAATGTGCACTATTTGGCGACGATTGGACAAATAGTCGGCAAACCAAACTAATGCTGAACCAGATATGCCAAGCTCAAACAAATCGTAGTTTGTGCCGTACCTGGGCCTGTACTACGCGCCACGTGCTTGGCGCTTGTCGCGTAGCGCTGGACCAGGGACGTTACACCTGGAGGCACGACAACGTACTCGGGGTCAGGAACATGCGTGAGGAGATTCGAATCCGCACTGCTGCAAACACCGTACAAACCGAAAATTCAAATGAGCTTGACTTCATCTCGTTTTGCAAGGCGGGAGAGAAGCCAGTTCGCGTTCAGCCCAGACGAAAGTTGGTTACGACTGATCTCCTGTCAGCGGCCTCAGACTGGAAACTTCTTGTCCACTCAGTTAGTGCAAAGATTTCTTTCCCTAGCTGTGTTGCACTTACCACCCTAAGACCAGATATAGTTCTGTACTCTACGAGTCGTAGGATTGTATTCTGGATGGAGTTGACAGTTTGTGCTGAGGACAGATTCAGTGTCAGTAACTCGCGGAAGGACAGGCGGTATGCGGATCTGGCCGATCAATGCCGAGCAAACAGGTGGCAGGTCGTTTCTTTTTCGGTTGCGGTAGGTGTGCGTGGTTTCATCCCGGACTCTCTTCGGAGGGCTCTGAAAGCGCTTGGATTTTCTAATCGAAGAATAAAATTTATTTGTAATTTGTGCAGTAAGACGTCTCTGCGAAGCAGCTACATCATCTGGTTGCGGCGTCAACAAAAACACTGGTCGGAAGATCCACTTTTCTGAGGTACTGTATGTGGGGCTCCGTTTATTGAGGTGCGTTGAAATTTATTCTCTTTATCTTATTATTTCTTTTCTATAATTTCCCCATATGAGTTCCTATCAGTTGCTGTGAACACCTTGAGTGGAGAGCGCTTGCTCGAGCGTTGAACCGGGTTCTTAATCCACCATACCCAGTTCGCAAGGCTGGGCGGGGTTGTGAGCAGGCTTTCAGTTCATCTTTTCTTATTATTTCTATTATTTCTGCTTTTCATCTCATTACAAAAATTCTGCGCTTTTTCTCCATCTGCGCATAAAATCTAGACTGACAACCTGCTTGTTAAATCATGCACCTGCTTTCAGGCGTAAAAACCCTGTTGTAGCGGTCTCAGTCCTCATTTGTTAGACTTACCTGTCTTTATAAATGTAACTTACTCTCTCTCTCTCTCTCTCTCTCTCTCTCTCTCTCTCCCGCTCTCTCTCTCTGTATCTCTATCTCTCTCTCATAAAGGAATAAAGCAGTACAGAGGACTGACTGTGCCGTCATCACCATGCATCAACGAAATGATGCATGATGATGCATGATGCATGATGATGACGGCGGATTTAGTTCTATTTATTCCTTTATTAAAATCCCCTCTTGGCGTTGTCTTCTGACCCTCCGTGATTAACATGAAAATACATGTCGCTTTCATATGTTCTGTCCCTCTTTCAGACTGAAAGTTTTGTCAGACATTTCTCATTTTCGAAACTTCAGCCGAAGCATTGAAGGTTGCGTCAGCCGCCTTAAACGTGGTAAGTATGTTGCTGCCTATCTGTGTAGAATGGAAGACAAAATACGTAGCATATATTCCGGAGTATACTCCGCACCCAGATATTTGTGTCACTAAATACATTACATTGTTTGTTGTTATTTTAGCTGTTCCTACTTGCTATGTTTCTATCACCTCTTTACTGTACCAAATAAAGACTTGCAATAGGACTATATACATTATAGCGTAACTTGTAGTCCCTGTGCTTAGACTTGCTGTGGTGTGGGGCCGTGCATTGGGAACGTGAATATGTAGTAGCTGGCCCTGGCTACCGACATGTCTCTGAGAAATGCTGTATTTCTTTATGTTCCCTCCTTGTTCTCCTGTGTGTCCAGAGGACTTTGCCCAAGCCGTTGCAATACTGATTGACCCAGAATACAGCAACGATTTCAAAGACGACATGCAAGACTTTATCGTGAGAAACGACCTCGGCACCACTAACATACCGGATAATATGCATGGTGTTATCAGGTGGGTCGTGGACAAAGCTGGAACGCACGAAGTCACCCTGGCCGAGTTGAAGAAGATAGCGCTAGACCTGAATCCGGACAAGAAGAAAAAGATTGAGAAAACATTCCAGTGAGTTAAACAAGAATGACTGATCTCCTTGTTATCCAGTATTTCGGTGGGATGGTCCGGGTTGGGTCCAGGGAGAAGGGATGGGGTGATGGCAGGGGGGGGGGGGTCAAGTTGGTTTCAGAAAGTGATGAATGGTCTGTGCTGGGATCCTGCCTGCACCTTAGCTTGTCGTCTGAGCATTGTTTCCCAGTAGCAAAGTCCCCGGTTTGAAATTTTTAAACTCGGATACTGAGCCAGTAACAGAATGTAAAATGTAAGAAAACACATTGGAACGATGCCCTGTGATTGCACTTTCTGACTGAGTATTATCTTGTTACAGTCGTGGATAGTTGCTTCATAACTCGTTCCCATGGGTTTTCCCTAGTTTGGGTTAGCAGTTTTCTAAGAATACCAAGGATCTGATAGACTGACAAGATCATGCAAGAAAACACCAATTGCACTCACCTGAGCTGAAGAGCTTCAGCTTTTCAAGTCGTGTTGGTTGTGCTAACATCCGACCAAACGTTTTCTCTCAATAAAAGGGTGTACATTCTTGGAGTGTGCAACCATTGAGCCACAATCTAGTCAACCTCGTATACAAGACAAAATCACGACTTCACCTCTCTCATTTCTATCACTCTTTACAAGATACACATCTCACTGGCAGGCCAATGGAGCTAGCGTGGTGTGATATGGTGCTGGTGCGGCCTGCTATGTTCAACCAACTAGAGGTCTCGGCATCTTCAAATGGCAGGCACTAGAATGTTCTCCCCCCCCCCCCCCCCCCCCATTGTCTCTGCCTGTCTTTATATTGCAGAATACCATATCTGTCTGCTTGCTGGTGTGTCTGCATATCATTCTCTTACCCTCCCTGCTCTCTTTCCCTCTCTCTCTCTCTCTCTCTCTCTCTCTCTCTCTCTCTCTCTCTCTCTCTTTCCCTCTCCCTCCCTCTCTCTCCCCCGCTTTCTCTCTCTTGTTGTTTGTCCTTGGTACAGTGTTGAAAAATGGTGAGGCGTCATCTTGAAGCTGCCCTGCCCAGCGGTGGCCTCTATTCGTTCCTGGCTTAGCTGTCAACTGTCTACATTCTACTGGTAGTGAGTCGCTCGACAGCAGAACACCTCAAGCATCTGAAGACCATCTTCCATCACTTGGCAGAGTATGGTCTGGTGGTCATTGTCAGCAAGTGTGTCTTCATGCAGCCCTTCCGTGACATTCCTCGGTCACAATGTCAAAGCCGCTGTCGGCGGCGGCATTGAGACACTGGCAGAGAAAGTCAAGGCCATGGTGGACTACCCTGCTCCAGACACTCACTCTGCTCTCTATCTCGCTTTCTAGGTTTGGTAAATCTCTACCGACGCTTCATCCCGGATTGTGCATGCATTCTTTAGCCGCTCTCGGATTTGTTAGCAGGCCCTCAATCTCCTGAGAACTGCTCGTCGCGAAGGTCGCGATGAAATACATGAAAATGAATTCTGAATAACTAATTTGTATTTTGCATTACATGACGATGATTAACATTAGTGTTTTCGTATATACCATGACAATGATTGTACTCTCTTACTCTCTTACATTGTGGCTGATTCCACGCTTGGGTTAGCAGAATTCTGGTTCCTTATCTTCCTTTCTAATGGTTGACTCCATTTCACTTCAAAGTAGCTTCGAAGGTAGTCTTCGTTTCTCTAGTCTTTGCATTACCTTCTGAAACAAATTCTTCGTTATGTTTTCATACCGTGAGTAGTCTCGCGCTCTTGATTTGTTTTGCTCAGGCATGACTTTCTTTCTGTTCTTTTTGTTATGCATGATCATGATGACGTATTGGTATGATGTATATGTGTATGTGATCACTTGACCACGTGACTATGTGTTCAATAACTACAGACAGTAGGCAAGTGCACTTTAGCCATTCGCTCTCCTTGCTGCTACTTCTTCTCCGTTTCTATTTTGTCGCTGCACTAGTTCCTTTTTCCACCATTCCACGCCAATGAAAGTCGTGGTCGCCAATTAAATGCATGATCTTTGTGCGCAGCTGCCTGTGGATGCAGCCGCCCTGTTTCCGTTCCATTTGGATCTTGATTGAGAAAGAAACTTTCCAAATCATAAATGAAGAAACGTTGTTTGTAAATTAATAGCTAGGTTCCAGGGTACGATTTTCCATGCCAAAATCCGTATGGACGATACGGATTTTTTCGAAGCCTACTTCATACGATGTTTCGGCACGGAGAATACATGTGGACTGGCTTTCATACGAACCATGTTTCGTATGGAGATTTTGCGTCATCGAGTGCAGAAAGATTGTTTTGCGTACACATAATAATTGGGCACGAGAAACATCGATTTTCCGCCGGAAGTTTTGAAATAAAAAGGCAAAGTGGCGGACACTACTGAAGAAGTCGTGGACTAATTGAACGGCGATCTTATGAAGTTATCAGATTATCCGGAAGGAAAGCGAATGAAATTAAATCCTGCTAAAACGAAGTTCATACTGCTCCACCCCATAGACCACCGATGTCCCGCCATGATATCTGCCTCTGTTACCATTGATGGTGTCCATGTTCCCCGCACACAGTCTGCTCGCTACTTGGGTATTGTACTTGACAAAAACTTGACTTTTGGCCCAGAAATAGACAACCTTGTCGGTTCTGTGAACAGGAAACTTGGTGCATACCGCTATCCCGCCATCTTCTGCCACACCATACTCGGCGTTCCTTCTATTTTTAAAGTGTCATTCACAACAGAACAACAAGGACAATCAAGGCTTGTTTGCTGCTACTTTAAGTTTCATGCTCACGCAATCATCAGGCAACATGAAGGTCGGGTACCGACCATGCCGGTATATCTGTCAGGAGAGGGTGGTATAAAAAGCTGTGTGAGACTGTGGGGGCTAGCGCAGTAGCGGTGGTGTTTTAGGCAGGGGCTGTGTGCAGAGTGTGTGGTTGTTGAAGGCAGGGGCTAGCAGTGCAGTGTTAGCGCGGAGTGTGTGGCTGGTGTGGGCAGGAGGTGGTGAGCAATGCGTGTGGATGTTGTAGGCAGTAGGCTGTAGAGCTAGCAGTGTGATAATAGCGTAGTGTAAATGTATATGGCTGGTGTGGGCAGGGTGTTATGAGCAAGGTGTGTGAACGTGAATGGTGTGGCCAGGAGGCTGTGGAGACATGTTTAGGTGACACCGCGGTTTTTTAGGAGATACTTGTTCTCGTGTCGGAACTTGGACACCATTTCAGAGCGCTTGTTGAGGCTGGACGGTGACCCTAGCGTGTTCAGGATGTGATACTTTTCTCTGGTACAGAGGGAACACCGCTTCGTGATGTTGGAGTATGCCCGGGCGCGATCTTTTATCCTCCATTCGACTTCGTATTGGGCGTTGGATTTCTTCAGCTTCCAGATGTAGCTGGAGAACTCAGTGCAGCTGGAGTACTTCTCGTATCTTGTTGTAGTCATGTGGTTGGCATGGCGTGACTTGAATGGTGGCGCCGTCATACCGGTGTATTCCTTTTTGGTGGGGCCTGACGTTATGGATGCCACATATATCAGCTCCGTCGTTTGGCATTCACCGTTGAGTGGACACGATGGCTTGTCTCGGCAGTTGCAGGGCTTTTCCGGTTTTTTCGTTTGCGGGCAGAGAACCGCTTTGTTGTGGCTTTTGATGCGTGCAGCCATCTTTGGCATGCAACTGTAGCTTATCTTGATGGTGTTTTTTTTGTGAATATTTTTCCGCTTCGACTGTGGGGGGAAGTGCTTCTTAATGAGCGCGAGGAATCTTCCACCGATGTTTGTTTTCACATTACGGCTGTAGGGCGGGTTGTACCAAATCACCTTCCTCTTCCTTTTCTTCTTTTTGCTTGTTTTCTGTTTGAACTCGAGCGTGCTAGGGTGGCCGCTGGCGTTGAGGGCCTCCGCGTAGATGGGGATAGCGTCACGGAGCACAGCTTCTGAGCAGGAGATGCTTGCCAGTCGGTTGTTAATTCCAGCTGGGATGTTCTTAAGGACTTGCGGTGGGTGATTGGAGTTGGCGTTGACATACAGTGGGGTGTTGTTGGGTTTTCGGTACGGTTGGTAGGTTCCTGTGGAGATGCTCATTGTGATGTCTAGGTAGTTAACGGCGTTCAGGTTTACGTCTATCGTGATTTTTAGCCCCAGCGTCTTGAAGGTGTCGATGACAGCTTTCCTTACTTTGTCCGCCCAGTGGCCAGTGGCGTTACGGAGGACGGCAAGCCCGTCGTCTCTGTAGAGGCCTACCGAGCCGCTGCTGAAGTGCTGTTCGAGTTTACTCAGGAAATTCTCGCAGGTTTCTTGGTCCTCGTCATGACAAAAAAAGATCATCCACAAAACGGTAGTACACCGAAGGCCACAACGATGGGGGAATTGATGACACGCAGAATCCAACGAATATGTGTGCTAATACAGGATCAGGAAGCAGGCACAGTGGGTTGGTCAAAGACCATGATTGAGATACGAGAGGTACCTGGTTCAAGTCCTGCCTGGGAGCGGTTTTTCCAGCCGTGCTGCTACCCACAGTCAACTGGGAACTTGTGGCCAGGCACAAGGGGTACATGGATGCAGCTAATGGGGTCGTTTTCGGCACTTGTGCCAGTGGTTGTGAGACTTGCCCACTCACCCCCACCGTTAGGCGCTGCATCTGCCGCTAGGGTTTATCGGGTGTTAGCGGCCGTCGTGAGTTCCCTTCGGGAACGGATACGATAATTTACTTACTTTACAGGATCAGGAGGAGGATCCGAGAGGCCATCAACATCAGGGAGCTATCCCCGGAAATCAACAACAACAGGGGCTGGGACCTGCTATAAACCCACCTATGCGGCCATATTATTAGCTTCTAGCATGAGTTCTGGGTGATACACTCGGCACATGGACGGTGCGAACTGCTTAGCTGTCACCATGCTGTGCATGCTCAGCAGTGTAATTGAATGGAAGAAAACAATTACTTTGGTGTTTTGCAGCTCTATTTCGTTCCCTGACGGTAACCAAATCTAGATGTAGGAATCTGTTGAGCAGGAGAGTGATACATGTCTTCCCGAAGGCTGTCCAGGCTGCAGTGGTGATGAAGAAGACACGATCATCACCCCGAGATCGATTGTAGCGAATTGGAAAACTCATGGTGAATTTGCTTCCACTCCAAGGCAATGTCGAGGTATGAAGGGTGCTTGTACTGCCTTTCAAAGTGAATAGGAGATGAACATGGCTGTGCATAGCTGTTGTTCTACGCCAATTTACCTACTCTTGCTGATACCGTAGTGGCATATTGCAAATTGCGTGGACGAACAACTCTAGTCACTAGTGGCTAATGAGCAACACTAACAGGTGAGATTTTTCAATTTGACAAAAAATGTTTTTGTTTGAGAACTGACAGTGGCAGTCATTTGACTCAGTAGGTGTCTTTGCGCTTCTTTCCCTTCATTGGTAGGGTTGTGCTTGAAGTAAAATAAAATAAATAGACATGTGGAACACACACAAGCGGAAAAACCGTCAGAGATCAAATTCCATTACACAGTGTTTCACCGTTCAAGCAACGGATCATCAGATGGATGATCAAACAAAGTATGATACACTGGTTATATACTCAGAAGGTGTGAACTCCGTCACTATGGAGTGTGAAAATTATCATGTCGGGTCCCGGATGTGACAAGTCCATTTTTCATGATGCATTGTACAGAGTGCCAAGGTGCTAGATGAGGGTGATGATATTGCGGGGTGTGACCAGCCCATTTTTCATGATGCATTGCACAGAGTGCCTAGGGAAAGGTGATAGCGCAGAGTGGTGCCATGCCAGGTAACAGATATACAGTCAACTTCGCTAATAACGACTGCGGATATAACGACAATTCGTGAATAACGACCGAATTTCCATGCCTAGAGCAAAGTCCCATCTAACTGTATACATTTAACTTCGGATATAACGACTATCTGAATAACGACAATTCGCGTATAGCGACATGCTTTTAGTGCCCCGAGGTCATATTCACTGCTTGAATAACGACTTTCTGGGCTTTTGACAGCTATTTCAAGTACCTGTCAGTCAAGTACATGTACCTGTCATGCAGAAGTACCAGAACCTATGGTGATGGATATTATTTAAAATAATTATTATAAAGGCACACATGCAAGAAAATGCAGCCAAGGGGGGGGGGCTTTTTCTTCCTTTTTATGTTGGCTTCAAAATTGTTGGATTTACCAGCACACCATTATGTATACAATGTACATGTAGTTGTACATGATTGTACAGTAATCATCATACATGTACATGTTTCTGGCCCTGTAGATGGCTCAACTTGAAGGCATATTTTTCAATTGATTTCCTTTGCATATTGAATTTTTAGTTCTTTTCAATTGCAATATGAAAATAAAGTACACATTGACATAGAGCAAGAAAAGAGCTTGATTTTGATATGCATGTCATACTATACAAAATATGGGTTCACATACATTCAAATGGGACTTCGGTTATAAGGACACTTCGCGAATAAGGACACTTTTCTGATGCCCCGCCGAATGTCGTTATTGGCGAAGTTGACTGTAGAGGCGCTACCAAGGCCATAAAATAATCACTGTCCTTATCATGTGATGGGCACAAAATTTGATAGGACATACTTGCTTTCGTGCCTGCATTTTGACACAATCTCATTTCGCTTGTTTAGCCTAGTGCGGGCGTCGGTTTCGAGGATGTGATACTTCTCGGTAGTGCAGAGGCCACATCTCTTGGACGTGTTATCGAACGAGGTGGCCCTGTCGCGGATCTTCCAGTCAATGACGTACTGTCTGTTGTCCCGCTTCATCGACCAAACATGCTTTGAGTCTGACAACTCGGTGGAATTCTCATAGCGGTCATGCCTGAGCGTAGTCAAATGGTTGGAGTAGCGAGCTTTGAAAGGCGGCGCAGACATGCCGGTATAGACCTTGGCGTTACGGGTGTCGTCCGACACCATGGCCTGGTAGATGTTTGTGTGTGATGAAGCTCTGCCTCGCTTGCATTGAGCACTCTCCGCAGTTTGAGACCATTCCCTTGTGTGAACATGTGGAACATAAATCTAATCAAGCATCAGTACATGTGTTGCGAATTTCAACTTCAAAGCACATGAAAACACAATGATCACAAAGTTTATGGAATCAGGAGGACACCCTGTTTTCAACGAACACATACACACATGCTGTATTGCGCACACACATGTACACATGTGCGTGCACCCCCACCCCATCCCACAGAAAGCGCGTGCAGCGCGCACATCCATACACATGTGCATGTACCCCCCCCCCCCCGACACACACACACACTCCTACCCATACACATGTGCGTAGGACCCCCACACACACACACACACACACGTGTGCACAGACGAATACACAAACACACACGCACGAACACACACAAGATACGTGTAAGTGTACATGGTCTTCCTGGTGCAGATTCTGTGCCAGCACAATGGAAAATACCTCCATCAAGATGCTTGATCAAGTGTTGTGATAATGGCACCGTTTGTTTGTTTTTACAAAGAAGTGTGTGAAGGATTACAATGCGTTATAATTCATAATTGTTCTTTGCCTTGTACTGTGCAGACCAGAATGCTTCGCTATCAACTCCTGGCTTTCCATCGGCATGGTGCTCAGCTGCAGCGGCATCTAATCCGGGGAGTTGAAGTTGCTGGATGGCTGCACTGACACAGGATGGGTTTGCGTTGGCAATGCGATACGGCAGTCATTCCACATCATGAGCTACATGTTTATGTAATTTATATTGTCGCTCGTCCAGCAACGTCAAGGCTCTGCATGTAAACACAGGAGAACACCATAATAAAAAATACTACTCAGGGGATAATATTATAATTTTGGATTAGCAATTTCGTGACATTTATGAGTTCCTGTCTAAACCATGCCGTGATCTTGATTGCTATCTGTTCACAAAGTACCTTGTATTGTAACAATACTCTGCCTAATCACTACCCTCCGCCAATTATTAGATTCACACAATATTCACAACGTATGCAACACAATGCTGTCTATTGACACTACTTCGAACTGAAATGCTCACTACTCTTCTCCCGTTTTCAACTCCCTCTACCTTATGAATACTCTACATTTACTGGTTTCGTTTCTACCCTTTCCATTGCTGCCAGCTCCCAGTCTTTTTCAATGCACAGCACCACCTTGAAATTTTTGTGATTTGATGTACACATACTTTGAAGTTGAAATTCGAACTACATGATCAGATTTTTGTTCCACATGTTCTATTTATTTTACTTCGAGCACAACTCTACCGATGAAGGGAAAGAAGCAGCAGAGAGACACCTACTGAGTCTAATGACTGCCACTGTCAGTTCTCAAACAAAAACAATTTTTGTCAAATTGAAAAATCTCACCTGTTAGTGTTGCTCACTAGCCAATAGTGACTAGAGTTGTTCGTCCACGAAATTTGCAATATAGCACTACGGTACCACCAAGAGTAGGTAAGTTGGCATAGAACAACAGCTATGCAAAGCCATGTTCATCTCCTCTTCACTTTGGAAGGCAATACAAGCACCCTTCATACCTCGACATTGCCTTGGACTTTGGAGTGGAAGCAAATTCACCATGAGTTTTCCAATTCGCTACAATCGATCTCGGGGTGATGATCGTGTCTTCTTCATCACCACTGCAGCCTGGACAGCCTTCGGGAAGACATGTATCACTCTCCTGCTCAACAGATTCCTACATCTAGATTTGGTTACCGTCAGGGAACGAAATAGAGCTGCAAAACACCAATTGTTTTCTTCCATTCAATTACACTGCTGAGCATGCACAGCATGGTGACAGCTAAGCAGTTCGCACGTCATCAAGCCCAATTTCCAAATATGGAAGGTGTTATTAATTTTATGAAATTTGACACGGTTCCTCTTCTCTGATCGGCTCGAGACATAGCTCATCGGAATCAGTGCCCAATTCCCCTTCGTCTGATCTGAAGCCAAGATTAGAATAGAATTACTTAGAAGAAGGTAAGGACCAAAGGTTTACGCCACAGTATAATAATAGAACAGTTCTCGTACAGTGCAGCGATGTAGTGCTAACCTTTCCATTTCTGTCTCTTTTGAGCTCTGCTACAATGTGATGGTTGTGAAAAAAGTGGGAAACGGAGTGCAAGCACCAATAGTTACTGAGCGGCTAAAATGCAGCGGTTACGGCTTGAACGTTCGGAACGGAGTTACTGAGCGGAGTGGACAAAATGCAGCAGCTACTGATGGAACATGGCACGCCACTGATTCTTGTCAGTGGCAGTGGCGCGGACCTCTTCCAAGTCCCCCACGGCCACACTCTTGAAGCTTCTATGGGATGTTCCTTTCTTGGAGATCCTTGATGACCGTGGTGGCGAGTGTTGTCTTTGGTCTACCACGGTGACCGGTAGCGTATCGCTTCAGGTAGCATGACATAGCTCTGAAAGCAGGTGCATTGGGGTCCATCCGAAGAACGTGGCTAGCATTTGCGTTCTGGGGCGATTTACAGATGCGTGTACTTATTGCCAAGATGATGTCGGGTCAGAACGTGTGCCACAATATTCACTAATGATACTGACATTCAACGACCTGACGTTTGCCTCGATCACGTCTTCGATACATGTGTAGCATGCACGCCCTGGTCGATCTAAGGCTACAGTTTGTACACTGACCAACACTAGCAACAGACTTCCAGCTGGTCATAAAAATTTAATTCCATTCATTCAAAGAAAAAGAAAAACATTGAAAACCCAGGACAAGTATTTTTCTTCGCACACATGATGTCATTGCCTTGTCAACTACATCACATGATGTCATTGCCTTGTCAACTACATCACATGATGTCATTGCCTTGTCAACTACGCTGTAACTAATTACTTACATGTACTTTGACAGGATCTGGATCAGGGAGTAGTAAAATACACTACTCCCTGATCTGGATCATAGATCATGTAGATGTGGCAAGCTTGCGAAGGACTAAAGCTGTAAGACTAACGTTCACGTTCCCTGCAAAAAACGCATTTCGACACCCGGTACGTACCCATACCGGCCATGTGTGCTGGACTTCTGCGCGTGGCGTGCAGGGCAAGACGTGTGAGATGGCTGGTATGCACGACAACTCCTACAACATAGCACGGGAACACGACAGGTCACCGCGAGACAGCTCACAGCGCGACAACTCACAGCCGACAGCTCACAGTGTCGTCAACTCACACTCACAGCGAGACAAGTCACGGCCACACCGACTCACAGCGCGGCACAGCCACACCAGCTTAGCAGTGTGGTTACTTTTCATTGATTGGCTGCTTCTGATATCACCCTGATGCCACTGCTGGAACATGCTCTGGCTATAAAAGCTCACAGTTGAATAGAAAAAAATCGTTTTTGGTCATGGATAAGAGTGTCGTGGTGGGATCACTACACCATGGATTCTTCACCAGATTACGTTACGAAAACGCAGCGAATTCTTCCTTCACTTGGAAGACACGCTGTCGCCAAAAATGGATCCCATCCTGGAGTACTTCGAGAAGAGTTACATTGGTACCCTTTGTTACTTTTCCTCAGCGCCCAGGTCAACACACTTTCGTCAACACCGGGTTTCCGCACACAATCGAATCACAGTTCAGTTTTACTCCACTCCGGAGAACACAATTATTCAGACCCATGGAACATAGTAAAATCACAACAGCTACAAACTTGTAGAATCTAGAGCTCAGGTCCAACACAACAAGAACCAAAACATTACCACGCGGCCAGCAACATGAACAACTCACAGAACAAAAGGCACATGCTTCCAAAACCAATACACACTCCGGCCCGGCCGGCCCGTGTCGCATATGCCAGCGATACATGCATAAAAGGAAGTACAGTGAGAAGGAAGTAACGCAGGTCACATGAAAGCGCGTAGCATTCCCACGTGTAAGCTAGCACGCACCACAAATCACGTATCACAGACACAGGGCCTAGGGCACAACTGCAACTGTGCACTACGCACACATTCAAATACAGCTGTAGACACGCACTGCATAAATTTACAAGTACTCGTACAAACTGTGCAGGTCAGCGACACCTGCAGCATCTGCTGGAACAATGGCACAAGGGAGTACTAAGAGTAAGAAAACGTAACATTCCCTCCCTCATGAGCGAACGTGGGAAAACTGAGCGAATCTAATGCCTATACGCTATTGGGCAAAACCGTAACTTGATACACAGCATTAACAACGGCGAGCATGCCAGTTAATGTCACTCATTGAGATCACTTAGCCGGACTTCGGCAGAGGCTGGGAGAGTCACCTTGACTGCCGACGGTTCCACATCTAGGGGCACCAAGCGGTGGACGCTGCGCTTGTACACCTTCCCTTTGACCTTCACGTCCACTACGCGCACCTTCCCGTCCTTTCCAGGATACGTAGCGACCACTCGACCAAGCGGCCACTGAGTCCTTGGGAGCGATTCGTCCAGCATCATTAGGATTTTGCCGACTGTAACCGATGCACTATCACGGTGCCACTTCGTCTCCAAATTGGCTCGAGCAACAATCTCGCGGAGCCACCTCTTCCAAATGCGCTTCATCAGATCCTGAAGCAACTGCCAGCGACGATGCAGACCCCCCTCCGGGGTTGCTTCCAACGCTGTTGCAACTCTCGAATGGCCAACCAAGAAATGCAAAGGCGTTAGCGGCTCCAGGTCTTCACTTTCCTCCGAAAGCGTTGTCAATGGCCGCGAGTTGATGAGAGCCTCGGCCTGCACCAATACTGTCTGGAGCTCTTCTTCAGTTAAATCAGCCTTGTACAGCACAGTCTGGAGAACTTGCTTCATGGAGCGCACGATCCGTTCAACACGCCGCCGAAATGAGGAGAACGAGGCGGATTGAATTTCCACTCAATCCCTTGGCCTGCATACTCCGATGTGAGGTCGGCATGGTCAAGCTGGGCGACTGCCTCCCTCAGCTCTCGCTCTGTCGCAACAAAATTGCTTCCATTATCAGTAAGCAACATCTCAGGTGTGCCGCGACGCTTGCAGAATCGCGTCAGGGCCATCTTGAAGCCAGTCGTGTCGAGAGAGGTAACCAGCTCCAAGTGACACGCTCGAGATTGCAGACACGTGAACACTGCCACATACCTCTTCTCTTGTGTACGTCCTCGACCTTTCTTCACTAGAAATGGTCCGGCGAAGTCCACAGCGGTGCGGGCGAATGCCAGAAGTGGTCCTTGCGTGCGGAGGTCTGGGAGAGGACCCATCCTGGGAGTGGCTGGTTTGCGCCACACCTTCTGACATCCCACGCAGTGGTGCCGATGTGACTTCACCATTTGCTTGCCTTTCACAAGCCAGTAGTGATCGGCGAGATTGGACAGGATGTGATTCGTGCCAATGCTGTGTCGGCATCGCTCATCCTCTCTCCGAATGATCAGCTCTGTCACTCGGTGTCGAGGTGGGAGAATAATTGGCGATCGAAACTCAGATGCCAAGTGGTAAGCCGTACGCAGTCTCCCACTAACTCTTAATACGGGGTATCCACTCTGTTCGTCGATGCGCGGTTGCAACTTGAGAAGAGGGGCACTGCTAGGCAACTCCTTCCCTTTTCTCAGCGTGCTCGTCACTTCACCATAGCTCTCATCTTGCGCACGCATGATCCAATAGTGCTCCGCTCTTTCAAACTCAGCTGGTGAGAGCTCGGGCACGGCAACCTCCTTGCTGTTCTTGATTGCAATCTTCACACGGGCGTCGCTGAGCGTTAGCTGTGACAGTCGGCTCTTGCGGCGATTGTGTATGGCACGCATGCACCAAGCCGTGACCCG